TAAAAGAAAACTTGGAATACTCGAAATCTCGTATCTCGATATTATATTATTAGAACAGTCGGCAGAAACAAAAACCCTGGTTGCTTTTATGTAGCGGCGAGTTTTTTGCCACATTCGAGAAACGCGCAATTTTATGTTGCAAGGTTAATAGTACTACAATGTTGCCTTGTTAAAATTAAAAAAAAACATTTTCAGAAGCAAAACGTTGCATGACGCGTCGGTATCGCGCACAATTTTTTTGCGCCTAACATCACAATGGGTCGCAAAAAATGACGATGATTCACAGGAATAATGATCGGATCGGAGTCGCGTCGGTGGAGATACGCTACTGACACTGGTGATGACGAGTTATCTGGCGTGCCACCAATAGAGGAGCGCTTGAACAAGATATCCTTGTACTCTCGTAAAACGGAGGAGCAAACGCTGATGTAATTCTCATGTTTCGTCGAGGTGTGCCCGTTCCGAATGAATTTATCGGACGATAAATAGAATAATACACTGTTACATAAAAACGATAATCGGGTCTTTCTTACAAGTTTCCTACAAAAGGCGACAATGATTTTCAGGAGTAAGTAAGTTACGATTTAAAGAGATAAGTTAATGAAGGAGATGGACAACCGAGAGGAATATAAGGTAAAAGTAGGACCTGTAGTGTAATTTGTAAAATCCGCTTTAGGCACAGATTAGCTTGAGATCTAACTCGGATGGAGCAAAGACGTGTGTTTGCGTATTGAAAATATAAATAAATACCTTTCGGCCGTGCAAATATTATAACTACGCAAATTTATTACGCGTGTCAACTTGCATAACAATAAACGCCGTGCGCATGTTTCGAAAATACGCGCCGACGTCTCGCTTCGTTTCGGATCCTGTCGGACAGAATTCATTTAAATTCCGAGATCCATTCACAAGTCTCAGAAAAACTATTCCCCCCCCATTAAATTAAATCGGCGCAAAATGTCGCGAGCGGGCCCACGTCGTCGTTAATGTATAATTAACGCACGTCGGGGAAACGCGGACGGTATTTGGACGGTTATTCCAATGAGAGAGTATCAATGCACGATTAATTACTACGTCTGTCTGGCGGACGGCGATAACGATTTAACGCCGGTTATTAAATCCGCTCACGCGCGAAAACCTCCGCGAAAACGTGAGAGACGGACACGTAGGGAAGATATTCAACTTTCGAGGCCGCAAAGAAATCACGCGACGTCAGAGAGCGAACGATAGATAGAGAAACGGAGAAAAAGAGAGAGAGAGAGAGAGAGAGAGAGAGAGAGAGAGAGAGAGAGAGAGGAGGAGAGAGAGAGAGAGAGAGAGAGAGAGAGAGATG